AAACATTGTTGTGTATGTACACAGCTTCACAACGTGTTTGGTGCAGGTTTCTGAAGCTTCTGTTAGTAGAAATCGCAGTACTATCATTGTTCCTGCAGGAAGCACCCGAGATGAAGGGTGGGCAGCATTTAGAAACATTTTAGCTGATATCAATGAAGCATCAAGGCTTTTTATACTGCCGAATCAGGTGTCCTTGTTTTTCATGCATAAACTCTTTCCTACTTTCTAGGTAATATAAGTTTCTCTTTTGGGAGTGACTTACAAGTCTTGTGAATTTTCACCTGGTTGTTTCCATGCCAAAGCAGCAAAGTTCTGAACCTTCAGAGCGCCTTGTTGGGCTTTCAGATGACGTAGGCGCTGGCTTCATATCTGGCCACAATAGTCAAACTGCTCCAACTTCTGAACTGAATGTTGACAGATCCGCAGAGTTGCCGGCACAAGATGAAATTGGTAACATGGGGGTGTCTAAAGTGATCAGAGCTGATCAAAAGAGATTCTTCTTTGATCTTGGGAATAATAATAGGGGACATTTCCTAAGAATATCTGAGGTATGCTTCAGGAAGTGAAAGAATTTTTTCTTTGAGACTCTAGAAGGATTTTGCTTGTTCATTTTATATTTTTTATTTTAGGTTTCTGGCAGTAAATGAAATCATAATATCTTTAGAATTCTGTTTAAATTGCAGGTTGCAGGTTCTGATCGGTCCTCCATAATTCTCCCCCTGTCAGGGCTCAAGCAGTTCCATGAAATAGTAGGTCATTTTGTGGAGATAACCAAAGACCGAATTGAAGGAATGACAGGTGCAAATGTTCGGACAGTGGATTCTCCCCAGAGGTGAATCCTTCCCCTGGGGTTTGGTGATTAAACCAATAATTCCAGTATATCAAGACTGCTTTAGAGGTACAAGTAGGTGTTTTGATTAGGGTGGAATTCTCCTTACAGCTGTGTTCTGTTATTTTATTCTCTTCTTCTGTTCTCTCATTCAAGTCTGAAATAATATCCGTTTTCTGATTGCTCAACGTAGAATTCGGAGATGATTGCCAAGCTTAATTTGAACATCAATAACACAAAAAACAGACAAGATACATGTAACTTGAGTTTGATAGTCTGTCAACCTTCCAGCTTAATAATAATGACCATTCCAGCTCTGCTATATTTTGTTCAGTAGCACAAATGCATCTACTTGATTTGTTTCTAGTTTTATGGCTTGTGGTGCAGGTTTTCACTTGTCACTTGTTTTAAGTGTAACCTTGTGGTTGGTGATGTTACCCTTGAATGTTAAAAATTACGAGGAGGGGGAAAAACTTGGTTTTGAGGAGGGCTATACTAGTCGTCAGTCTGCTGGCAGATTGTAGAGATGATTTAGCTTGAGCAGCAAGTGTTACCGTGCCAGGCAATCGTGCAATATCATATCTACATAACTAGGGCTGCATATAATTATTTAGTTATTCTTCTTTTCCTGAGTAAATTTTCTCTGAGGCATCGTGTATGCACTTTTGCCTTTACAGATTGATCTAGTATTTCATGGAACTGCTTTAAAGGAAACAGAGCTACCCGTAGACATATCGTAGTTAGTGAATAAACCCTGTAGGCCCTCCATTTACCATCTTTACTTAAATAGCCTTAGTAAGTATCTACCTATCATTTCTGTAAAATACCCTTAGAAACTACTCACCAAATTAATTAAAATACCATTTCCAAGAACCAAGAGATACCCATCATTGTAAAATAGATATCAACATGTAGTAAGTATCGACCAACACCTCGATCCTAGTGGCTCGTGCTCCACCCGAAGTTGTACACCCATTGTTAATGACGGCTTACGAAGATGATTTAAGCTACCGAAGATGTGTTGGTAGAAAGCAACTGAAAATGTTGCAGATTTTAAGATTTCAACTATTGAATATGTGTGCTATTTAGTATTACAGTCTAATAGTATTTTTCTTCACCTGTAAGTAAGATGTTTTAGGTTTGATTCTCGTCAAATGTGCATTCGCACTAAATTATTATGACTAACTCACTATGAGACTTCGCACACTCCTCCATCAATTCGAGCCACTAAACAATTATATTGTCTTCGGTTCGTTTCTACCGAATACGTGGATTCATGACGGCTTCAATAATCAATTGGCATTATAGAAGTTTTCATTAGGTATTATTTATATTTAATTTTAAATTTTAGAATGATTTCTGATTGCATGATATACGATGAACGGTCACGATCACATAATCCCTAAGATTTCTAGGAAAATAATCTCCCCCCCCCCCCACACAATTCATATAGATAGATGTGGTTTATTATAGCGTTAAGGGTGCACCTCGTTACTCAATTATGATTAACAAATTTTTACTGTTTAATTTAAATTAACATTTACATTTTTACTTGGACAAATCAAAGTTTACTTTTTATGTTGGTTACCACCATGGACGAAAACATTGTTGTCCAATATTAATTAGTTTATTGGTATTGTTAGGGAGACTAAATTTATAGATAAAATTTTGAAAACTAAAGGACATGAAAATTGATGATTGGTTTATTACATAAGTATTGATAAACGTGCTCATTCATATTGGTGATACATATTTTAGTTTACAAATTTTGTCTATAAATTTAGGGAGCATTTTTGCTCACCACCATACCTATAGTGTATGCTCACTTAATCAATTGATATGTGTCATTTTACCTCACTCTAATTAACTTCCACATTAAATGTTACTTTTTCAATTTTGAAAAAAAAATTAACCAATGTTAAGTGAAAGAGATAGTTTAGTTACGGTTTCTAGTCCCTAACTGTTATAGACTCAAACCTTATGCATTTAGGTTTTAGACTGAAGTCAACTCTCCACATAAATAGCATAATAATAAAAGATATGTAATAATATCAATAAAGACTCAAACCGTTATTTTGGTTTCATTTACATCACCAATTTAATTATTGAAATTTGCTTTATGGGTTTCAACAAAAAAAAATACTTATGGTTGCATTCTAGAATTTTTTTTTTATATTTTTTATTCTTGACGGTAATTTTATTGATATTGAAAAAAAAAAGTATACCTAGTCAAGATGGACATAAACCTAACCCCTCATAATACAAGAGAGAAAAAAAATGGAACTTTAACGAAAAGCATCCGGTACTGTTCACTTTAACAAAAAACCACATTTTTACACTAAAAAGTCAATCCTGGTACTATTCATTTTACCCTTTATTTTGTCCTTATCATTAAAACTCAAAGTTTTCAAGCCCTTTTCATTAGTTTCCTAAAAAAAAAAGATAAAAAAAAATACATGAAAAGAAGAGGGGACATAAACCTCACCCTTCTAAAAACAGAAACAACAAAGATACAAGGAAAAAATAGAGGGGGGGACATGAAACCTAACCCACTAAAGCCGAACCTAAATTAGAGGTCTAAAAACAAAACAAAAACTAGGAAAGCCAACATAGTCTGAAAATAAAGCGGAAACCAGGATAAGCTAATACTAAATTTATTCAAATTTGATGAAGGGTATCCACCAAAGAGTTAATTTGAAATATAAATTTTTTTAAAGGAAAACTAATGAAAAAGGTTTGAAAATTTTGAGTTTTAACGATGAAGACAAAATAAAGGGTAAAGTAAATAATACCATTGTTAGGGTAAAATTGGCTATTCCTAAACAAAACGTCTGAGTCTGTAATCTTAGACTAGTACATATTTTCCGTTGTAATTATTTTAGTCTAAGTTTGTCTCTTGGCTCTCTATCAGTAAAACTGGCAAGCGTTTCAGAGACATCCACTTAAGTATGTTTGCACGCATGCATCCAACTACATCTATATCACATGTTATTGTATTTGGGATAGGACTTTTACTCATTGTGTGTTTTATCCTTTTAGAATGACTTATCCCATCTATATTAATTATTAAATCATGTTTTCAAACTTATCTGATTGCGTGTTTGGTGAGAGTCATCTAACTACATGGATTGCTATCTTTATCAGATAGTGTCGTCCGTATCATTGGGAAATTGGTGTCGTGCTTTGGTTTATATATATGAGAGGTCAGGGGGCTTGAAAGAGGGTGTCGCATATTTATGTATTTATAAGGGAGGTCAGGAACTGTTTTGATGGAAGCTGCATATGCATGTAACCTTTTTTCCTTGATAAAAGTTTGAGAGGCAGCATCTTGGTGTTTTGAATAAGGAAAAATATTTTTGATATTGCTGCTATCTTGTGGTTTCAACAGCATGCGTTTTTAAAGAGAAAATATTATTTTCATGCTGTTTTTCATTTAAGGTTTTAATTGAATGTCAATTATGAAAATGTGCCTTGTGATTTTCGTAATTGATTGTTTTTCAAATAAACACTTCATCATATAAGCATTCTGCATGATCAAGTTAGTATCTTGCAAAGTTCGAGGAAAAGGTGATTGACGATCGCGTTAGTGTCGTGCCACTTCAACTCGAAGACTGAAGAGAGATCGAGTAGTAAAGCGCGGAGACAAAACTGCCTACTAGTATGTGTGTCTAGTTGATGAGTTTTGTAAGTCTTTCTGTACTTATTTCTCTTAGTGTTTGTCCTGGCTTGGAAGTCCGAGGATTTTCCCAGTGTTGGGTTTTGCCTCGTTAAATCCTACATCATGTGTGCACTTTTTATTTATCGTTTTAATTGCATATGAGTATGATAGTTTGATATGTGATGTGAATGTGGATTTAATTTGAGAACTGAAAATTAAATTGAAAATTGAATTGGATTTTTAAATTGGAACCTATTCACCCCACTCTAGGTTAAACTAGTACTCATCCTAGAACTTTCAACCATGATTGACTTTTTAGTGTAAAAATGTGGTTTTTTGTTAAAGTGACAATACCGAGAGCTTTTCATTAAAATTCTCTTCTTTTAAACCATATATTTATGTTTCAGATTTTTTTATATTATATGTATGTATTGAGTCTAATGTTGTTAATAATTCATAGCTAGCTAGCGAGCATCGTCTTGGTAATGTGGGCTGGAACGGGAGAGATGGATATATGATAATATTAGAACTGTAAATTTATTGCATTTTGGAAAGGGTTGATACAATCATGATCAATCAGCCAATCCATTGCTTGATGGCCATTCCTTTTGGTGTTACAGTACTAGCTAGCATATATATAATATACTAGTGGATGACGATGTGATCGTTTAAGCGCTGTATGGAGGGGGCTTAGGCAAATCCTTGACAATGCCACAGAGTTGGGTGGTTTCTGGGAGGTTGTACTCGTCCCTGAGGGAGCGTGCAGGTGACAGGACGCTCACGTAGAACTGTTGTCCGAGGTAGCGCCTCTCCGGTTGTTCCGACCTCACGTTCCACATTCCGGCATTGTCGAAGGTCAACATTATGGCCGCCCAGGATTTGGGGAACACTTGGATGGTGTGCCTGCTCACTCCGTCCAGAAGGTTGTAGTTCTTTCTCTTTTCTGGGGTCCACCTCCCGGGCTCAATGCTGCACGTAGGAGTAGCATTGATTGATTATATTATACATGAATATGTAAGTAATATTAGCTACCTAGCTAGGTATAAATATGTAGAGATTACATATTACATAGAAGAGAGAGACTAGGTAGGGTTAGCTAGGGGACTTACGCGACGGCAAAGAAGGAGTATCCATCCAAATGCCATGACTGAATGCTCTTCTCGTGGTTCTCAAAGATGATCTCTACAAAGTCACGGAAGGTCTGGTTGACAACGTTGGGTGCCAAGGTGACCTTGTCCTCCACGGTGGCTGGGGGTTCATCTTGGATGGTGTCGTACTTGAAGACCTTGTCGGCCACACCAAAGTACTGAGCCAGCTTGAGTGGGGTTTCGGATTCCACGTAGGAGACTCCGTTGATGGCATAGCGGAGCTTGCCATTCACCATCGAGGCGGAGTTGACGATCTTGATGGTACGGGTGATGTTGATCTTTCCGTAGTGGTACGAGCCCTGAGGATTAGGCCTGGCAGCGCTGGCAGTAAGGTTCCAGCGGAAGGAACGGAACTGGTTGAGAGACCAGGCCCATCCTACAGGAGCTTCGGGGAGCTCGGGGGATGCAGGGCCGTTACTGTTTTCATAGCGGATTATGCCTTTGCCGGTGAGCACGGTCTTGGTGAATCGGGTCGAGGCTACCATGTAGTAGTCCTTGCGCTCTTTGTCGGCAGTGACGAGCAACGAGAAGCATTGCCCCAAGTGCACGTCAAGGGACTCGTAGGTGTTCTGGACGGTGTGGGAGCCTTCCATCTCGACAAGCTTTAAGGGGTGGCCTTGGATCCTGAAGTTGAGGGAGTTCTTGAAGCCCACGTTGCAGACCCTGTACTTGTAGGTCTTCCCTGGCTTCATGGTGAAGAGGGGCTCGTCTTTGCCGTCTCCCTTGGCGTTCTTGCCGTTGATTAGGATGCCGTCGGGCCTTCCCATGGTGCGGCCGCTGTCCAATAATTTCTTGAGAGCGGTGTGACTTTTGGTGTACCAGTCGCCGATCATAACGGTGTATTCATCCTCGGGATCAGCATAGGGGACGGGAATGAGCAGACGACTGTTGATGCGGAGTCCACCAAAGCCGCCTGCTGCCCTGTGCATGGCAGTGACGGGATAGTACATGTAGCTCCCGATCTGATCCTTGACTTGGAAGCGGTAGGTGAAGTTGGTGCCAGGGACGATGGGGCACATGGTTCCAAGGGTTCCATCCTGCCACGAATTCTTCCTCTGCTGGATGCCGCTCCATGTCAAAAGGAATGGCTCATCGAGGTTGTTGAAGACGTTCAAGACGATGTTGTTGTTGGAGGTGGAGTTGATGTTGGGTCCTGGGAACTGGCCATTGATGAGAATTGCTTGCTGGGGGACTCCGAGGGGAGAGATGGTTCCGTAGGTGACATTCCATGTGAAGAACAGGTAAGGGTCTTCGCCCTGGACCACTGAAAGTGCCCCGGCTGTAAGGCACAGCAACAACGCATACATCACGGAAGCCATATCTCTCTCTCTTATTCCTATCGATCTATTAATTTCAACCCTTTCCTCACGCAATATATAATTATTAATTCCTATCGATATCTATGGTTTTATTTGAAGAAGATTGTTGCTTCTTCTTCTACGATCTTTCTCGTTCCCAATTCTTCCCTTTTTATACACTTGTTTCACAGTTTTTCCACCGCTCAAATTAACTTTCCGGAAACGTCTCTCAGCCCGCCCTTCTTTCTTGTCCCTTGCATTGCGCCCGCCCTTTCATTTTCTTTTCCTACTATTTTTTCACCTTTGGACCCCTTCTCCTTGACAAACACAAACACGCATGCACAAACGAAACAACCAAGACCACGTCAAAAGATTCAACCACCCGTGGCTAAAGGTAGTTATTTTAACCGAAAATATTGTGCCGGGAGATTGCAATACATAAAATGAGCCATTTTAACTTGAGAAACTTTCTTTTTTGTTTTTTTGTTTGTTTATTGATAGGATTAAATTTACACCACAAAGTAGCATAAAATGTCCTATTAATTTTCCTTATTAACACTAAGATTTGTTATTTGTAACATACGAAAATATAGGATTTTTTCCGTGGAAGATTGTCTTGCCTAACTTCTTAAAGTACCACAAAAACTAGGTTGCTATCCTAATGACCAGCCATTGAAAAATAATTATTAGACTAACTTACAGTTATCTAAATTCAATGAAATTTTATATACAAACAGACACACGGAGGTACACTCACACAAAATTTCAAGATTTTTGGAGTTGGTTTGCTATTTTAATTAAATTCAACAAAACCATAATAGCAACAATGATAAAATGACGAAAAATAGAATTTAGTTCACAAATTAAGAAAATGAGTTAGGGGAAGTGCTATCCTGTCACATCCCGGCCCGAGACGGACCACTTCCCGGGCCCGCTCCACCACCGTAACACAATATTATCCGTTTTGGGCTTATCATTCCCTCACGGTTTTGTTTTTAGGAACTTACGAGCAACTTCCCAGGGGTCACCCATCCTGGGAGTGCTCTGGCCCCTTTTTTGCTTAACTTCGGAGTTCCTATGGAACCCGAAGCCAGTGAGCTCCCAAAAAGCCTCAAGCTAGGTAGGAATGAGAATATACATTTAAGGATCACTCCCCTAGGCGATGTGGGATGTTACATATCCAACACCAAATAATCATGCAAACATGTTATCTTTCATTCAAATTCCTTTTATTTCTAGATCAAGATGCTCAAGTTGGCTCACTATTAGAACTCAACTTATTACTCTCTCTTACGTAGTATGTTAAGAGAATGGTGTTTTCAACTTAATCTCTAGTATGCAATCTAGAATGGCGTGTTCATCAATTTATGATGTAGAAATCATTAAGAACGAAAAGAGTTTGAGTCAACACAGGGCATCGTAAATACTGGCGTTGTCTTACTTATCCTAGAAATTGGTTCACATGTTAATTGCAATTAACAAATACTACTCTAGAACATATGTAGGTCCTCATTCGGTAAGGGTAGGCACACACATGTTCATAGCATTAGAATCCTATATATGCTTACAAAGTATGCATCCATAGAAAACACATAAAGTATTCATCACTAACATAGGTAGTGAACCAATTTTCATCCTTCATAAGAGAAATTCAAACAAAAAGTCATAACAAACTTGCAATCATTTTTTAGGCTTCAAACAGCCCCTAACTTCTAGAAATTAGTTACACATAATTCTTAAATTAAACCAAAAGAAAGACATGAGTTTGAGAAGATGAAACCAAAAGAATAGAGTGTTATCCTTGTTGCTTTTCCTCACTCGTTCTTGCTGCCTTCTTGTTCTCTTCTTCACATTTGGCTTCTTTTCTTTTCTTTTCATAACCTTTCAAATGTGTTATGGTTTCCATCATCATGAGAATTCATTCCTAATTAAAGCCAATTAGTATGGAGACTTGTGGATTTCTTCGCTGCATCAATTGTGGCCGTTAGGATTTATTGTGTTTATTGCCTTCATTGCTTTCTTGTCAATTACAAACTGCTCAGCCTTTAGGGAACATTTCAGTATTAAAATAAGCATAACTTCTTATTAAAAAATGATATAAAAGTCGTAAAGTGCTCTAGAAAATAGACATTCGTAGCTTTCCACGCACATTAAAACTCATTCTCTGATTCATTCTGAGTTGTTCGCAACTCGCTGCCAAAGTCAGCTGATCTGCACAGGCAATTTTGACGAATTTGCTATTTAAAATCTCAATTGTGCTCCCTTTCTTTTCTTTGCCTGAAAAAATCCTACAAAACACAAAAACAAAGTAAATAGCTCAAAAATACAAGGAACTAACTTAGAAAAGACAAGTAAATTTGATGTAAAAAAAAAAATATATATATATATATATATATATATATATATATATATATAAGCTTATCAAATACTCTTACACTTAACTTTTGCTAGTCCTAGGGCAAAATAAAGAAAACATGAAAAAGTAGTAACACGGAAAACATTAGCTTCCCCCTATGTGACCCTCACAGAATTTCATTCAAGAGAACAGATCATTGAGAACCTTAGTTAGCACAAAACAAGCTAATCCAAGCTAATCTTCCTTGTTCAAATGTTAGCAGTAACTTTTTGATCATCCTTAAAGTGTAGTGTGTGTAATAGCCATGCTAATACAATTTCAAGTTTCTTTAAAACACCACATGTAGACATGTGACCTTCTCACAGGACATACACTCATTCCCATGTATGTCAAGGTTAACGTGTTTCGCTCAAGAAATCAAATGCGAAAGATCTACCATAAGCTTGCATAACGATCTTATCTCCACAATCATAATTGCAAGACACAGTTGTTTACTGTTTTGCAGGTTGCTCAGGTATACTTGGATATGCGTTTGACCACCGCCCATGGAGGTGCACGAATTTGGTTTCAACAATTGGTGCTTTCATTGAGAGAAGACTCATATTCTTCTCAGCCAGATCACTATGCCATATGGAAGTTATGTCCAGAAGAACATCCCATGATCAGGACACAGGCACAAGGGATGATTATGCCCCATTTATAAATCCAGTCTAGGAAAATGCTCTAATGATATGCACATCAACAAGAGATCTTAAAAAGAACTTATGAACCAGGGAACAAGCTAACCACTCCAAACTAGATGAAAGGATGAAAGCTATCAAAGACACAATCGCCCGTCTCGAAGTCTCTGGCCTTTAGGTTCCTCCAGGACAACGAACCCGAATCTAAATCACATGGCCCCGAAACTTGTCCCAATTAGAGGCATTAAAGAACCATCGAAGACCTTAGGTTTACTACCACCCCACCATTCAGGGAAGAGATATTTCCCTAACAATAGCCTTAAAGGAAGAAACTGGGACTATTTCAAAAGGGCTTAGAAAGGGAAAAAGACGATGCGAAAGGCTCATCATCCCAAAAATCGCGCCACCAACCAGAAGACATTCTCTCCCTCCCTATAATGCCCTTGTGGTCAAGTTGTAATTCTCTGATGCCATGGTGGGCAAGTTCCTAATTGACAACGAGTCAAATGACAACTTCATCTTCATACACGTAGCTAGAATGATGGGTGTCCTCGACAAAATCAACTTCAAAAGATCCACCATTCAAGCTCTTAATGGGGTCCCACACAACATTATGGAAACTGTACAACTCAAGGTATAGGAAAAACTATTTGAATATTTGATGGCTTTCTATGTGATATGTAACGACCAATCTTAAAAATTTACGTTTTAATTCATTAAAATTATGAAAATACCCCTAATGACGAAAACGTTGACTTCCGTTAACATGTAGGAAATTTTCTTTTATTTTATTTTTGTAGCACTCGTTGATACGAACGTGTAGACGAGAACGAAATTGAATTCAAAGCTAAAGCTTTTACGAATTTTTGAACGTCAAGGGCATTTTGGTAATTTCACAATTAAAGATATTTCTCCACTTTGGGCTTCTCCTAGAGTGACACGTGGCAATTTCCCTTATTTCTGGGGTGTTCTTCCCGTGACCCCTTTTTCCCTATTTTCCTATTCTTCTTTTTCTTTTCCCCTATGAACTTTTCTCTTTCTAGAACATTATCTATCTCTCTCCTTATCTATCTTCCTCTCATCTCTCAACTCTTCTCCTCTTTCCGGAAAAGCACACAAACATCATAACCATGACAAGACATCCACCACTGTTCCCATCATGCTAGAGCCGATCACCACCATTTGGCAGCGACGGGAATCACTATCCTCGACTAGGCACCCATATATCTCTCTCATTCTCGGTACTGTAGCACAGTCACTGTGCTTGTGTTCTCCGGTGAGTTACGTTGTCTACGACCAAGGTAAACCTTCTAGAACTCCTTAGATCATGCTTTTAAGTTAGATTAGAATAGTTGGTATGTGTTAATCAAGTGTTGGACGCTAGAAACAGCTTGGGGGAAACTTTTCCTAGATTTTGGCGAGAACTGTCGTCTTCCGTGCCATTTTCCAGCCAACTCCGCCCACAATACATCTCTAAAATGGTACAAACTTCTTCTTATCATTATAAGCTTCATTTCCATAGCTAGAACGTTGAAAATTGTGAAGAAATGAGCTCGAACGGAGCTCTAGAAACTCTGCCCAGATTTCGGCTGACCCACAGCCTGAAACCGGGTCGACCTGACTCGCAACCCAAAATCGAACCCAACCCAACTACCAGGCCCAATCCAATAACCTAGTTCAACCCAGTAACTTTAAACTCAGATTTGACCTGACCTTGACCCAATCCTAGTTTCCATGGTTGGCGCGTGGGCTGCGTGTGGATGCGCGTGGATGGCTATCTTAGCCGGTGCGTGGAGCATACGCACCTCTGTCAACCACGACAGCGACTACGAGTTTTTCGACGACCAATCTCTGAGCGTGCAGTGGTGTGTAGCCTTACGAGTCACTGCCTTATGGCAGAGCGTGGGGAAACCTGAGGTCCCTCCTTAGGTTTTTCGACGTGCTAAATCTGAATCCGCTATATGTTTTCCCAATTCTATCGTTTTAGTAAAGTTTTATTAAATGGTCTTTATTTGTGTTTAGGTACATTGGTTGGAAGTGACCCTTTCCTCCCTAGTTCTAGCGGTTCCCTAGTAGCGGAATATTTATGAGTGGATCACTTCTTAAATTGCATATT